ATTTATAATAAATATTTTCCACTAATGAATATTATATTTATGATTAATTATACAAGTTGATAAATAATAGATACTATGTAAATGATGATAATTGTTGTAAATGATGATAATTGTTGTAAATGTTTTAATTATTACAATTATGAAAGTTATAAAAATTATGAAAATTATGGAAATTATATAAATTTTCAGTCGTAACAACGGAAGTAGATGGTTGACAATAATAAACTAACAAGAATATGAGTATAAGATGAATGTTTAAGTGTATTTGAATAATAATAAGACAATATTAAAACTAAATATACGCTATTAATCAAAGTTAGAAAGTGTTTTGATAAGATAAAAGATAATATGATGACAAGTGAAAACAACAAAAGTAAAAACAAAAATAAAACAAAAGAAAATATAAAATACAAATAAACAAAAATAAAGTAAACAAAAATAACAAACAAGAAAAGTGAAAAAGACAAGATAAAATTAGAACCAGGATATAATCTTCTTAATTTATTTCAAGTCAATCCTCATATTACATATATAACAAATTTGAGTTATGCTAATCTACATGTTATTTACATATATAGATTACAAAGTAAAATTAATAAAAGTAAAGATCTACAACATGTTGGAACATGATAACTATTATATAATATTAGAAAGAGATTTGTATAAAATCTATGTGTCACTAATTAAATTAATGTAACAAAAGATTAAAATAAAGTACCAATAAAATTTAAAATATAAAATGATGTGATAATAGTATGAATTGATTGGTAATTTGAATGATGATGAAATCTAAACTAAAATGATACGATAATAAAGTAAAATAATTGGATAAAAATATAGAAAAGTAAAATAAAAGAAAAAGTCTAAATAAATATTACTGCACTAAAAATATAATGTGATATAGTTGATGAAAGATAAAATGATAACAGTATTTATTTCTTAGTAAAAAAGTTTATACATTTTATAAAATACAAACATTTGATGACTTTAGCTTTTATGCACCATAGCTTGATGAATTTGTTGAGATATAAGCTAATTATACTTATATAAAGATGTTTTGGATTTAACAATGCAAATACATATTTTAATAACTTGAAATATATTTGCATGTTTGACTCCAATGTCCAATATTATTTGTATTTAGTAAATCAAATAAATCCAAGATCATCAGATCATCCACAAGATAGCCTTAAAATCAAAGTCAAAGTCAAAGTCTTTGAGCTTTGTAAAATCTATTGTTTTTTAATATAATCTATTACTGTATCTGCTCATCTTAACCAAATAACTCGATGCTTTGACAATATTAATGAAGTAATGCATTGTTCACTGTAGTCGAGTTCTCATCGTTAATAAGAATCGATTTGTGATTAATTTAAAACCGAGGCTATGTGATAAGTTATCTAATCATGACATATTCACGAGAGAGTCAGTTCTCCATCTTATGTTTGATGACAATACCATTTGTCGAGTTCCTTGGTAATTTCAATAAATTATTTGCCAGCTCTTGAACTCTTTCCTTGATATCTGATTGAACCCGTGCTATAAAAAATTGATTGCAAATTCGGATATTGATTTGTGTTGTTCCGTGACGGAAGTGGGACATTCATTAGCTTTTGTAGAATAGGGTCACTCTTACATATTCTATGTTTCTGATGTAATAACAGTTTTCGTTTCTTTTCCTTGAAAATTGTTGGAGTCCTTAAAATCTCGGATTTTTCAATTGTCCAAATAAATTTCACTTAACTTTTATGTACGTGATGTATGATCATTGGAAATAGCCCTTCGTTCCGGCAGATATAAAAAGAGAATAAATAAAATGACTGTTACGATAGGGCGCACTATACTTATTGATCTATTTTTTCAAGGTCTTTTTTGAGTATGTTTCCAAATTATATATAATACGTGGCTAACTCTCTTAATACTTCGGAGTTGGTATTGTATAGATAGATCATGCTAATACAGTAGAATATGTAACTTTCCTTTTTTGAATGTTAATAACTCCAATTCCTTTAATCATTGAAGAAATGCGCTTGTGAATAATATAAAGTTGAATCACTTTGGATGGTGGTATAGAATGATATTAAATCACGGTTGTACGTAATTCTTATTATTTGCAGTCTATTGAATTCTTCAACATCAGATTTTCCTTGGGAATTTGACACCCAAAAGTTCTCAACAACATGCTTTTCTACATACCAATGATGTGTAGACGCTTTCAAAAAGAATTTCTGCAGAATTTTCGATGGTGCTATTCTATCCGGTCTGCTCACCTAAGACATCTATGTAATCCGCTCAATCATTACCCAAAAAAACTAACTCGGCGTACCAACGCCATCTCATCGGTACTTACTCTAAATAGGAAGTTTGAGTATAACCTTTATGATAACCTTTATGATAACCTTTATGCAGCGCATTTACTTATATGCCATGCAACTAAGTTCATGGCTAGTATTAGGATTCTAGTTGTAAAGAATTATGAATAAATCAATGATTAAATATTGTATATTCTCAGATAACGCTCAAGTCTATTGGTAGCATTTTAGAATAGTAATCGTGCAAAGCAATCAGCTTCAGACATAAAAAAATATTCCTCAAAATCAGGCTCTTCTTTGACGACCAAAAAATATAAATGTAATTTTTCACGAGTGTTTACTTACTATCATATGGGAAAGGTTAAAGTATTTTCTCATAGGGTATCAAAATTTTTCCAATCAGTAATTTCTGCTGCGAATAACGATAAGGATACCGTACATCTGTGTGTTACAGTGTTGCACGAAGAATGGTGACGCGCCTAATTATAGAGTTGAGTTACAATACGCGTTCCAAATCTTTGTATCGTATTCTTTTTTTACTCTTCGTCTCCTTCTATCTCTTTACGATAAAGAAAAAACCCAAAGTAATTCTCACAATTACCTCTCGTCTTGAAAAAAAAGACAAGAATGCACGCACTCCGCAACAACACATACGTTCCAGTAATACACTCACCACTCGCGTCGAGCTCTTCAGCTGCTCAACTACCAACACCTCCATCGTCGTTTTTATCACGCGGCAACGCTCAGAGCAGAATAAGCAGTCGGTACACAAGTATCGTGAAGCCGACCAACCAACAACGCTTCAATGGCAAAAAGTTTGGTAGTATTAATAATAATAATAGTAAAGCTGGTGAATGGCGTAACAGGTTTAGAAAAGAGTGTGCTGAACGTATTAAAGCGTCGAGAGCTTTGACAGTTAGTCAACGACGAGAGGGGTTGTCTGATATTCAGGGAGTAGTTGACGCGGAACAAGTGTGTATTAATTAATATACAAGTGGGCCGTTATAACGACATCTCGATATAACATCTCGATATAACGACATCATAAAATCGCAAGATAACGACATTACCCTCAATCACTGATTATTAGTGGACATAAAAGTTATAACGAGACCCACTTGTAATCTTTTTATTATTGTGCGTTGTTATTGATACTAAATCAATTTGTATCTAGTCGATACAACAAATGTGGATGCAGTTCCAAAAGCAACATGCTTTGTACAATTTATGGTATGAGCCAGAAGATTACGAAGAATTATTACAGGAAATTTCTCAAGGTAAATTTAGCGATATTTGAATCACGGTATTGCAATTAAGTTAATAATTACCATTTGTTCTTTTCAAATAAATTTAAAAGAATCATTAATGTATGAACAACAACACGTGACGAAGATTAATAATTATGACGATATGATGATTGATGACAAAGGCGTCGACGATGAAAAGGAAATCGAGTTTGCGTTAATGATGAATGATGAAGAATACCTAATAAATGATATGTGACAGCAGCAGCAGGAGGCGCTGCAACATCAATTGTTTTTCCACGATAGATGATGCTCTTGGTAGATGATGCTCTTGGTAAATGATGCTCTTGGTAGATGATGCTCTTGGAACACAGGGGTGGCCAGTTATTGTGACATTATTATTATTATTATTATTATTATTATTATTATTGCTGCGAGGGTTTTTTTTGAAGTAATTGGTAATGGATGATGGATTGATTAAATTGTTTTTAAATGTTTTATTAATGTATATAATTTTCTACAAGTCTTATAAAATAAAAACTAACATAAAATTTGCATTACTTGATACATAAATGTTGTATTTATATATCTTGAAAATACTCGATTCTTACTACACCATACGAAAAGATATATTCATACTATTTATTACTACTAATAAATTCATAAATTTGGTGTGGTTATCAACCCAGTATAATTAGGTCGAACTTTTGTATAAATTGATAAAGTAAAACGTAATACAAGTGTTACAAACTAACTTACTATACTATACTACTACAAACAATATCCTTGATATCTTTTCCAGAATGAACCTCACACTTTAGAAAACATTGGATGGCTGCGAACGTTTTTGCTTTCAGAATCCTTCGAATGTATAACGCAAAGGATTTCGAGGTGCGACTTCTTTAATGACGATGACGACGACTATGTTAAAGCTTCTCGGAATCCTTTTTTGCGTCTAACAAAACTCTGACGTGGATGTATAGTTTCTTTCGTTTAGTACTATTTTTTATGATATTCAATCAGTCAAGTGTGTGATGGATCTTGTTGTTGCTATCCGTAATATACAGATCCTAGCAACCGATTATCTACGTCTAAATAAATAATATAATTTAGAATATGTTATATTATATAATAATAATAATAAATAAATAAATGCAAAAACAAACCTGTCATTAGTAAAGGAATATCCAGCATTCCCACCTACACCACCGCCACCACCACCTCCACTACCTCCTCCACCGCCGCCACTCTGACTCTGCGTAGACTTTCTACCACGTTGACTTTGTCGCCGATTACCAGCCTGATAAGTGACACGTATCCCACTACTAATCAACGATTGCTCAAGCGCAACACGTTGGTTTTGTTCTTCACGTTCCTCGTAATTGAGTACCAGTTTTTTGAGCTGTGCTTGTTCTTCACGTTCTGCTTCCTGTTTGGAACGTGTGTTCACGGCGAGTGCGCTGTCAGCTGGTACTTCCATGGTTTTAATCTAATAATTCATTCAGCATTATTAGAAATGATCAATAATAAGCAATCTGCATAAATAATAATAAATTAAAGCAACATTTACATGTTGCTTATTCCCTTTTTTGGTCAACAACGTAAACGACACGTTCCCATCCTCAAACTCTGAAGACCTTTCGGTGCCTTTAAGATGCATCGGTATAGCAACATCCAACATCGCCGGCTTTCTTTCATATTTACGAGACTCCAAACTCTCGGTCATCATCTTACTAAACTCGCGTTCGAAATCCTCGTCTTCGGAAGTCGAGACTTTATCTTGTCGATTGGTGTGTACGATGACTTCCTCTTCTTCGTGGTCGTGGCTCTCTATAACTTCAGTTTCGGCCTGTGTTTTAGAAATTCATTATTTATTAGTATCAACATTATCATGTAAATTTTAAACGTGTTATTAATTTACTAAACACATACATCCTCGTCATCCTCTTCCTCTTCACCAGGTTCACGCTCAGTCTCTTCCCTAAATTCATCATCATCTTCTTCCGAGGAAGACGAAGCCGCGTCACTTTCTTCCAAAGCTTCTTCTTGACCTTTTACTATTTCTTCGCTTGTTTGCACCGCTTTTTGGTTCAATATCAGTCTCTGATCGACTTCTTCGGCGGCCTCTTCGTAGGTCTTGTATCTGATCATTGATGATCGTAGCAACTACATGGAAGTCAATTAAAATTTTAGTATCTTTGTAAACTAACAAGACTACATACAAGTCAGTTTTATGTTTTGGACTGTATGCAAGGAAAATAAGTGGTACCTCGAAGGTATCGGAAACCATAAATTCTGCGTCCATTGGGAGTGGTTGTTTCGATAAGATATACATCTAAACATCACAATAATGTTTTAAACGTATGCATATGTGACAATGATAAAGAAAGTGGGTAGGTAGAATAAGCACCTGAAAGAACACCAAGAAATCATCCAATCTCTTTTTGGCAGTTCCACGATCAAAACAAATCCCACAAGTGTCTAGTAACGTGCAACAAAGTCTTACACGAAAGAAGTCATTGGGCGCGTCAAGAAAATTGAAGCGTGATGGATTAGGTCTGCCAAGTTCTATAAAAATTGTTATCATTCGTTATTTTTGTAGTTACTTTCAGCTGAATGGAAAAGATTTTTTTACAAATTTTGTATTTTGATATAAATAAATTACGGCTCTCGTTACCATGACCAAGAGTAACTATCGTATACAACGTATCAAAAATCACAGGTGAATCCACCATTCGGTAGTTGTAAAGTTCACCAAGATACTTGACTGTAGCAATGCGTCGTTGATTGTGCTTAAAGATATTTTGCTATCAGACGTCAAAAATTAATAATTGTTAATACTCAAACAATTTTCTTCCAATAATAATAAATATAATGCTTTATATTACAAAAATAATTACTTCAAGTCCAATCCTAATATCCTCAAGAACACAATCCACCAGCGCAACACCGAAATCCGAATGATACCTATGCAATCCCGAGACGAGGATCGCCATCAAGTGGATATTACTGTATTTGATTTTCCAGACTTTGGAGAAACATTTTTCGAGGATCTTGTAGACCTCTTTATCGTCCCAATTCAATTTCCGCAACAACTTTAGCACTTTTTCGACGGTTTTTTTGTTGAGATCGGTGTAGATCAGTTTACGAATATATTGCTCCATGATTGATCGTTCTTTGAGTACAATGGCTGTGTGGTCCGGGGGATTACACTGTATTCGAGATATTCCATTCGAAAATATTTTTAATCATTAAAGATTATTAGATATATATTTTATAAAACATGTAAGTTACCTGATAATAAGCGTTCTCAACCATCAAAAGCTGTCGACTATCAAGATGTTGAACGCTTTTTTTCCGCATCAAGATATCAAGCTTCAATAATATAATATCGGTAAATTCACAAATTGGTCAGTTTCCTAATATAAAAATACAGTCATAAACACACTATGTTACCATGTTCCCCATTCGGACACTAGTCTCCGGACTCTTAAACAAAAATCGCCCGCATGTCTCTAAAAGATTACACGCGATATCGATATTCTGATTGGAGAAATCGTCGAGCACCACTTTTAGGCAGTGGAAAATTAAGTGTTGTGGGGTGATGTGGAATTTGGTGAGTTCTGAGAGGTATCTGATGTTCTGTTTAGTTATTATACATGTTATTTTTGTGATTGGGAAAATGGATTAATTTAAGATATTATATGTTTCTAAAAGGAAAGAATCGGTCAGTCGATCGGTACCTTGACTTTAGTTTCAAGTAAATCCAAAGTTTTCTTTCGTTGCAACGACCGGAACTCGCCTTCAAGCTAAATATGATATAATCATTGACATTAGTAAAAAAAATTGCATATATATAAAAAGATCGCGAAAAAATTTGATTTTATTTATTTAATTTACCGCTTGTAAAACTGCCGCTGTAATATCAGGATAATGAGGATTAAGCGTAGCGATCAACCGTGCATAGTAAGGCAAAAGGTCAAGTCTAGTACGAGGGACGCCAACTAGAGTCTATATAAAATAGTTTAATTAAATTAACATCAAATAAATCAATTATTTTATAATCCTAAATAAAATACTTTTAATAACTTCTTTCGTGCCGCCTTAGAATTCAAGTAGCAGAAATCGACAGCAGCTTGGTCGATGAGATCACGATTTACGAGATTCGGAAGTCTCGATAACAGAGAATCAAGTTGTGCTGACGCGCCACTCTTGTTATTACTATTATTCAACTCAGCATCTTTTGACGCAGCGTCTTCATTTTCGTCATCTTTGACTAATCCATCAACACCATTATCACTGCCTAAAATCTCTTCTTTCTGCCCTCCATCAGTAGACACACTCGCACGACGATGATCCAAAGAATTGTCATCAATCTTATTATGTTCCTCATTTACAGATTTTCCATCGTCGTCTTTCTCGGTGTCCCCATTACCGGCAACTTCATCCTTGTCTAGTTCGAGGTCGTCTTTTTTGCTGGATTTCGCTTCGAGAAGGACCCCAGGTACGAGTGTTTTAAGGTCGATAAGAGATTCGTAGAAGCTCCGAGCGTCTTCGTCTTCCCAGATACCGCCTTGAGTATCCTAACAAATCGATTATTGCTTAAGCCATAAATAATTATATAGAATGCTATCATATAGAACTATAAGAAAAATAAATATAAAAACCTCTTTCTCATTGACAGCTGTTCCATCACGAACAACCAAAGAACTAATTTTTGTGGTTCCTTCATCGTTGGGCAAATCAATCATTTCGAGGTCCAGAGAATCAGCTAACCTAAGATAAGCAAAAAAAAAATGAAAACCTTGCGTCAGAAATAAACCTTCTTTCATCTAAGTTTAATCTTTAATGGCGCGAGAATGTTAGAGTCTGGTTAAATTGGAAGAAATAAAAAACACTCACGTTTGAGCATTCTGCAGAAACTTCTCAAAAGTTTTCACAACCTTTTCGTAGTTTTGCCTGGTTTCTTCGGAAATTTCGCCTCTGGTGATGTAGTATTCGTGGTTACTATGATCTAATCTTTTGATTTTCTAATTGATTAACATAATAATAACATTATTATTAATATGAAAGAGTAAGCTTCCTCTATAACTCATATTTTTTGGCTTTCAGTTATAATAATGTAAATAAATAAATCCAGCCATTGACACCTCATGATCCTTCAGCAAATGAGACTCAACGCCATGAAAGTAATCAACAAGCAAATTCTTGAAAAGAGCTTGATGTTCCAGCGTCACAACTGTATCTTTTGTTTCTTTTTTATCCTCTGATTCGATAACGTTTTCAGCAGCGGCGCCATCAAGAGCAGAGGTTGGAACAGCTTCAGAGGCAGCGGCATTTTCATCACGTTTTTGTTTGCGCGTAGTTCCGATAATTTCCGGACCAAAGTTTTTTACGAATGACACAGCCAAAGAGAGGTTTAGATGTTTGTTATCATGTGAGAGCTATATAAAATTGTTTTAGATTATTAGTAAATTAATTGCAAAAAATAAATTTCAGTAACAAGAACACATACCAGCTCCTTCATAACCGTATACATAAACCCTTCACCAGAACTTTTATACTCTTTCACTTCCCTCGCGTCTTTAACAATCGAATTATTACTAACGAATCCTGCGACATTATCCTTCACCCCATTAACACTCCCAGCACCAACCGCAGCCCCACCACTATTCAACGCGGCAATCCCATCCTCGACATTCCTTAACACGCCCATGAGCCACAACTCTCCCGCGATTCGAAGCAACACACGTTGCTTGGCGATACGCATGTTCTCCTCTTTTTCACGTTGCTCGGTGGTCAGGACGGCAAGTTGTTGTTTGTTGGGTGGTACGAGCGAACGGGCTAGCGTGTGTGTTAAGAACGGTGTGAATGTGTCGGGGAAGCGTTGGTGTAAGGCGGAGATTACCTTTATAATTAATTACATAATAGTAAATCTAGAGTATAACAATAACAACAATATAGCCAACGAATCTGTAATTTTTTGGTCCTAATTTAAGTGATCAAACGTACTTCAACAGCTGCCCAAATATCCGCAGCCGCTTTACACCGTTGCACACCTTCAACAACAGCAGCTACCACCTCAGATATATACTTTTCCAACGTCAACGTTTTTATATCTTTGAGCAATTGTGTTTGATACTCGGCCGACAATTGCGTTTTGCATTTTTTAATGAATCCCGTGTTTTTCTTGATATTTGAATCCAGGTTCTTAAATTTTGTTGGATCTACATGTTAGATAGCAAATTTTTAGTAATCTTTTGATGAATGAAGACGACTCTAGCAGTCGGCTTGGAAATTGTAGGGTAAGGCCTTATTTTTGTTAAGTACGGAACTAGATCGATCACTAAAACACCATACACACAAACATACCTGGCTTTCCCATACTCCACGCCGCCAAATTCTCATTTCGCAATTCCCGACGTCTTTCACGCCGTACTTGCGCTTGCATATCTGCATCTGTTGCTTCCATTTTCACAATAACCTTAAAAACAGTGTCACTAAAGTATAAACAGACACACAAAAATTCTCGATCAAATTTCATATATATATACCGCGCTTTGAAGGATCAAAGATAGTGAGCAAATAGTTTTTTTTACCTCTTTGATTTTGAAGTTCTTTGTCAGGGACCAAGTTACTCGAGTAAAATAAAGATTCATGTAACTTTTGATCAGGAGGAATAGGTAAAGTTATCGCAGTATCTTAGCATTTCTTCATCTCATTGGAAAAGTCACGTGTAGAATATTACAACTATCGCTATACAAATGAAATCCATTTTGACTTTACACAAAGGGTTCTATTGGTTGATCGACCAATCATTGTCGTGTGATAACGATTTTTCCTAGGCAAATTCATTTTTGAACTTGCGATTTAAACATCTCGGACCAGAAACATCCTTACACAAATGTAAAATGCAAAAAGAAAAATATTTGCTAAAATAGCTTTCAATGTCATTTTTTTTTAAGGTCACATAACTATATTTTTATGTTTAGATATTGAGTTATAAAATCTTATGTTAGTTTATAATTACAGTGATCGCCATAAATATCCGGAATTTAGTTTTTTAGGTACCGGTACAACTTCACGAAAATTCATTTAAAACATATGAAATTCCATATGTATATAATATAGGATATGGGAAACAAGTTTATCTAATATCATAAATTAATAAAATTTTGTGAATTGGAACATTTAAAAATTAAGAAGATTCTAAAAAAAATATTTTCATTAATTAATTTTGCAAATATTTTAAGAAACATATTTTCATATCTTAAAGAATATATCTATAATTTTCAATTGAATTTACTTCATTATTATGTCATAATGATCAATTAAAAAAAAGGTATAATTTTGCTAAATTTCTTAATAAATCATAGTGAAAATTGATTTTTTTTATTTTTACTATGATTTATTAAGAAATTTAGCAAAATTATATCCTTTTTTAATTGATCATTATGAGATAATAATGAAGTAAATTAAATTGAAAAATTATAGATATATTCTTTAAGATATAACAATATGTTTCTTAAAAATATTTGCAAAATTAATTAATGAAAATATTTTTTTAGAATCTTGTTATTCTTAATTTTTAAATGTTCCAATTCATAAAATTTTATTAATTTAAGTATATTTGTGATATTAAATAAACTTGTTTTCCATATCCTATATTATATACATATGGAATTTCATATATTTTAAATAAATTTTCGTGAAGTTGTATCGGTATCTAAAAAACTAAATTCCAGATATTTATAACGATCACTATATCTAATCTGAGCTTCCTATTTCGAATATGAAAAACTGTAATTATAAAGAGATTGTGACTATAGAAATCAATTTTTTTATGCTTTATAATAAGTTATAAAGTATTATTTTGATATGAATTTTTAGTTAAATTTTATTGGATAATTTATTTTATATTTTTTAATTCTTATAATTTATCTATTTATAATTTGATTATTATAGATAATTATTATATATAATTATTTCAAATAATTATTTATAATAAATAATCATTTTAAATAATTATCTCAAGTAATTATTTAAAATAATCACTTTTTATTTATTAATTATCTATAAATATAATATATATTTTAGCTTAGAGAAAAAAGAATTTTTACAAAATTTTGACAAAATATTATAATAAAAATCTTGAAAATAATTAATAAATTAATAATAAATTTATTTATTAATAAAATAATATATATTTATTATTATATTATAATCTTATAATAAAATTATTTACTTATTATATAATATTTCTTAATTAAATACTATCAACATGAATTTCAGATTATATTCTAGCTAATTATATTATAAATATTGTTGTATAATGACCTTTCGTCATAATATTTTATTATTGGATTATAAATATCTCATATATTATTGGATAAA